ATGATTTTCTTTATCTGTAGAAAAATCCACCTTTGTCTGGTTCCTCTCAGCAGCAACGGTTACTGGAACTGTTCTCTGACTCATTTGTCATTGTTCTAAAGTCTGTGGAACATCTGAGATGTGAGGTCTTTCCAGGCTGTAATTACAGCCACAGCAGCAGTGAGGCGCTGTATTGTCCGCCTGTCGGAACAAACAAAGGTGGAACGTTGACAGTTTCACACACAGACATTTCTTTTCTTTACTTCTCAGAACAGAACAGAACTAAAGTGATTTACACGTTCCATCGTTCTAATCTAACCCAAGATAATCTGATCTAATCCAAACTAAATGAATCTAATCTAATCCAGTCACTCTCTGTCTTCGTCTGTCACGCAATGTCAACACAATCACACACAGCATTATCAACAGATGCATTTAGAGCAGGCATGGGCAAACTAAGGCCCCGGGGCCGGATGCGGCCCATTCAGATTTTTAATCCGGCCCCCGCCCAACTTTTCCAAATTATATCATTTATTTGTATTATCATTTTGCTTCTGCCGTTTCCATGCAATACCCATGTTTCCCCAATAGATGGTGTAGAAAATGATGGAATCATTTTAGCATCTTAGCCCTTGAGTGACTTTTAAATGTCATTTATCTTAGTTCACAGGGACTCTCCATCCGTCTGCACCTGACCCCCCGTCCCCGTCCCCGTCCCCGGCCAACGAATCAAAAAGTTTGACCACGCCTGATTTAGAGCTTGGCCGTCTTTTAGTGGACAGTGGAGGAAAAACACTAGTTTTAATGTTTTTAAAAGGGACAGAAGTGTTTCAGGGACAGATGAAGGTCTACGGCAGGTGATGGATGAAGAGACGCCGTCTCTCAAGGTGACACGCGGTGATGTCTGTGACGTCTCTGTGTCGTCTCCGTGACGTCTTGATACGTATCACGACACAGGGGCAACGATACGATATATACCACGATTTACTTTGAGTTTTTGTTTTAAAACAACGTACGGTTTTTTTCGGACTATAAGTCACTCTGGTGTATAAGTCACACCAGTGCCCTCTAGCGGCTGTCAGTGTGATAATAACGAATGTGAAATTATATATTTTAATATATGTCACAAACCAAGAGGGAAGAAAAGTGTGACTTCTGTGTGGCCATCTGCTCTCACTGTTTTTTTTTTTTTTTTACATTTTTTGTTTATTTCATTTTAATTGTTACAATAAATAAAAAAGAAGACGAGAAAAATGACACAGGCTTTTATTATATATATATATGTATATGTTTGGGAGAGGGGGGTCGGCGCGCTGAGCAGCTGAAGCCGACACGTGTAGGTGTTTGGATCACGGTGAACGTGACTCGTGTTCCTCAGAGACGCTGATCTTTTTCACGCCCGTGTGAACGTGCACGTCCTGCGATGATATCATTGAGGGTGGGGGGGCAGCACTGTTCACAGGAGGTATGTTAAGATAAGGCGGATGTTCTCAAAATGGTGGGGGTGGGCCCTCATGGCGGGGGGGGGGGGGGGGGGTTTTAAAGGGGGGCTAGGAAGGGA